CTATGTCTTCACCACCTTACCATTCATGTGTGGGCTCTTTGAGCAGCCATGATGACATTGTGGCATCCCCCTGCCTCCACAGGAAGCGCTAAGATGAGTAAGGAAAAGGAAAATAGCTCTCTTCCTGAAGAAGTCCCCAAAGAGACCCTGGACATGGTGAAGGGCAGTGTTGGATAGACATTTACATTCTCTTCCTTGCAAACCAGAGCTTTCCCTGTACCAGGGGTTGAGCTGTATCCCCAGTAGAGTTGAGGCCAGGACTATGGTGATGAGAGTGAATTTGGTATCAGAGCCGTGCTTGAACGGAACATGTCACTTAAGACTGAGAACTAATAGCAGACATGGCTGCCATGTGTCTCTGGATTGAACATTTGTATTACTTCTCAGCTTGCAGCCTGGAATCCTGTACAGGTAACTCTCTCTAAGGAGATATATTCCAGGGCTACTCATTCACCTTCACCCTTAGGCTTGTCCTCTGGGGGCTTCCTGGAACCTCTGACTTAGGTCCACTTCCCCCATAGGTGGTTAGAGGAGTCTGGTCTATGAAAGGTCAAAGGGGAGGGACCTTGGAGGTGAGGCCAGGGACATTACCCTTTGAAATAACAAACTCATCCAGAACTTTCTAAAGCTTGTTCAGCCTTCACATCCTTGGCCTTTTCAGTTCCATTGTGAGAGTAACAGCCTCTCTCTATTACAGATGTGACTTCTTTGTGTCGAAGTCAGATCGTCTGACCCTATGTTGGTTAATTTTTGTCAGTTTGACACAAACGAGATATCCAGGAAGAGGTGATCTCAGTTAAGGAAATATCCCTAACACCTGGGGCTGAAAAACTCATCTGTGATTAAGAGGAGACTGGCATCACTGAGGTGAAACCTGGGTTTCCTCAGGGTCAGGACACAGAAGCTGTGGTCCAGAGGGCCAAGGCTGCATCTCAAGCAAATTAACTTGATAATGTGCAAATGTATCCTGTGCAGGGCGGTATTGTTGGCATGGAAGTTGCAGCACTGAAGGGGTCATGGGAAAAGCTGGGGCGTGGTACTGTGAAATACTAGGAGAGGTCACTCATTGTCGTGGCTTGGGTCGTGTCACCTGGAGGTGAGACAGAACTGGAGGGCTTTTCTTGTGAAGGACACTGTCCCTGGAAACCAAGCTACACTAATTTGAAGCAAAACAGCTCTTGGGGAGAGCCCAACTTCTCTGAAGTACTGCTTTGAAACACTGGACCAGCAGATGTTTTAGGAGAGGCAAAGTTGTGGCTTCTTAATGTAAATGATTTTGGAAGAAATTTTTTTCCCTTGCCTTCTCTGGCTCATTCTTCCCCTTTCTGCCTTGCCCCTGCAGGCATTTCATGTTCTGCAGCCAGGACCAAAAATAGCTTAGCCACTGGGATGGAGTCTTTAAGACTGGCTGTGGTCCTCACTAGGTTTTCTCTCTAGGAGTGGACTTTGACTTCTGGAGCAAATGAGAGCTTTGTGTTTACTTGTCCTCCCCCTGCTTGCACCCGCCCGAGAGCGGAGTGCATAGTTCCCACTGTCTCACAGCTGTATCCACAACCCCCCTCCGCCTGCCCGCCCAGCTGTTCCGCCCTGTGAGCGATACATCCAAGAGACCTCATAGTTTCTATGCCCCTCCTCCTCTTTCATTGCTGGTACCCTCTCTCATCCCCAGCCTCACCTGTGCACAGTCCCTCTCTGCTTTATAGTCAGGTTTCTTCTGCCTCTGCCACCACCTGGTGAGTCTCCCTAGACCAGTGTGTGGTCAAGTTATAACCATATTGGGAAGCCCCAGGATCTGTCACTCAACTGAAACCCACAGCCACCTTATATCTGTGCCTTTTCTTTTCCCTTTTATCCTTTCCACCTTGAGTGGCAGGTACCTTTCCACACATCTTAGCCAGAGGCCTTTCAGGGCAGCTCAAGACCCTGCTTAAGAATTTGATCTCCAAGTCTTCACTCGTTTCTGTCAGTTTGGATACATTCCCCAGTTGTGAATTCACTTGTCCCTGTCAATTTGGATACGTTCCCAATTGTGAATTCAACCAACGTCCTGTCTCTTCCAGATGACTTGCTCCACATTAAGGAGCTGGACTGGATCTCCCTGAAACCTCGTTTGGTCTGAGTGCCTCTAAATTTCTGCATACCCTCCCATTTATCCTCATCCCCTTGCTCCCCCATTTGTATTTAATTGTCAACCCTCAGACATTTGAAGCCACACACTTGTAAGATTGAACTGTCTGCAGGGCAAGACACTATAACAGGCAATGATGAACTTGGTAAGGACGGCAGGGCTAGATCCCTTCATTCATGTAGCTTTATTGACATTGCCTAGCTCTCTGCTTTGTGACTTGCTGCTTACAAACCATGTCTCCCATCATACCAAGGGCTTGGGAGCCCGGGCTGGCATCAGCCTTATCCTCAGTCTGTTGGTGGTACCTGCACAATGCCTCACACACTACTCAGCCAATATTTGTTAAAAGACAGAGAAGTCAATGCCTCCTCTCACACAGTTAATTCTGAACTCCCCAAAAGAACTTCCTGCATTTCTTCACCTACTTCCTGGGCCCTACGCATTGCCCCATGCTTTGAGCCCTGGAAAACCCCTTCTTCCCGTCACTTGGCAATCCCTAAGTGTCTAGAGGCCTGAGTCTGATGCTGCTTCCTTTTTGACGGGGTAGTGAGACCATACCACACACATCTGACTTCAGACATGCTTACCGACATGATTGCTTCAGGGTGTGGGCAAGGTTCCTGGCCGACAGACTTGTGGCTTCCTCTTGGGTACAGGACCCCTCACTTTCCTAGGATGTACAAGGCTTCACATAGGCAAGGGCATGAAGAAATGGAGCATCCCAAGCTCATGCTTCCTCCTAGCACCTTTGCCACACCCACAGACAGAAAATCACCAGTTGTGAAGTGTCCCATCCACAGTCACAGTAGGGGGTCTGAGATATGATCGACATTTCTTTTTGAAAAAATTAACTTGTGGGCAAGTGTTGCGTATTAGTGTAAACATGCCATGACACGTGTTTGGAGGTCAGAGGACACCCTGTGGGAGTCTGTTCTCTTTCTCTCATGCAAGTCCCAAGGATGGAACTTAGGTTGTAAGGCCTGGCGGCAAGCACACCTTTACCCACCAAGATATCTCACAGGCCCTTGATACTTCCTTTCTTGGCCTGGGTAGTAGGTAGTTAACCAAATATTTGCTTGGAAGCCAGGGCTCCTCAGTTATGATTCATTAGCTGCACACGTGCATTCTGTGACTTTCCTAATTTTTTTTTTCAATTCAAAAAACAAAAATGAAAGAAAACAGAAGAAAAGGGAATGGACATTCTTTTCTGACTCCAAGTCCTTGGTCCAGTCAATCACACTGAAGGAGTGTCTGCCTGCACCTGTGACTGCTGGCATGTGGAGGGTTCTGGGCCCAGGTCTGAATTGTCATCTTGATAATGAGCCTAGAGGCCCAAAAAGCAGTGTGACTCAACCTGGGTTTGAAAGGAAGGATGGAACTTAGCCAAGCTGGACATTTTACTTAAGGGGGCAGTGTGCTGGGATAACTGGGCTCGTGTGCTTGGGGTTTGAAGCAGCAAAGATACCCTGCTACTGAATATGGGGTAGACACTGGGAGGTTGTGTCTGATTCAGAGGCCCCGACTCACTGACACAGCCCCAAATGTCAGCAGGACAAATGCCTCTGTCAGAGACGTAGAATAGAAGACTCAGGGCCTTAGTGCCAAAGCAGACATGAGATTTTCTTAATTTAGTTTGTTGTTTTGCTTAAACCATGGGCTCATATGAGCTCACAATCTCTATCCCAGACAGGCAGGAAGTCACATCTGCCAGACACATGACATGGATACCCCAGTTCCTGCAGACATGTGACATGGCTATCATGTGATCACTCCCACTCCCAGCCTGGGACCTTGGAATTCAGAACTTTACCCGCCATCACCAAGGGAGGATGTGTCTGTGTCTGGACTACAAACGAGGGTGCTGTGAAATGTTCGAGGAGTTCCTGAACTCCAGCCAGGGCTGCTAAGTTTAAAAAAGAGGTTAATGATGGAAAGCCAAATCAGATTTACCTCCTTTATGCCCAAAGAGGGATTGTGACAAGTGACCCACAAATCTAAGAAGAGGCCATGGCGGCAGTGTGCAGATGACAATTACCATCCAGGAAGACCGACTCTGCCTACCACTGTGACCAATCTTCTCTTCTTTCATTTAAGCAATGACTCCACGATGTGCATGCTGTTGAATTCCCATTATATCCATGATGAAACTGGGTTGGGAGAGGGACAAGAGCTGCTTCAGAAAATCACATGCATGGCCAGTGCAGAGCTGGGCATTCAAGCAACCCCACTGCAGAGCCTGCACTGTAGCAGCTGGCACTGTCCGGGCACAGAGAGGCACTTCCATCCATGATAGGAGTGACTGTCTTAAAGACCATCTGGTGAATTCTGGTTGGACTGCTTCCTCATTTAAGCCACCTTCAGACTTGGTTCTGCAGTCAACTTGCCTTCAAGAAAAGAGGTCAGGGCTGGAGCCATGGTTCCTGAGTTCCATCCCCAGCAACCACGTGGTGGCTCACAACCATCTGTAATGAGATATGGTGCCCTCTTCTGGCATGCAGGCATACATGCAGATAAAACACTGTATACGCAATAACTAACTAACTAACTAACTAACTAACTAACTAACTAAATCTTTAAAAGAAAAGAAGCCATGCCCACCAGCATGGCTGCCGTATTTTCCATTAGTAATAGGTCTATACACATGTCTATTAAGGGGAGCCCACCCCAAAATGGGGCCCACTCTGTACCAACTTAATTGAGATTCTGAGTGTGCAAGGTAAGCGCCAGCTACAGCCCCATGTCAAGGAACCCACTCTTGGATTGTTCTTGGCAGCCTAGCTGTGAATTTGAGCTGCTTGGTCAGATGGCCTGGGTCATCTGCACAGAAGGATACGACAGTGCCAGGTTCCAGTGCGTGTTCCAAGTTCCACATTCTGTATCAGACTTCAGGCGCCAGACCAAAGGCGGCTCCTGGCAAGGAACTGGTAAGGACTGGCCTGGTATGTTTGTTCCTCCACATACATGCCCGGGGTGTCCTACATCTCAAACTCCCTAGCCTTTCATCCATAGTGACTCCAAAAGCTGATGACTAGCAGGGTCACTCGGGGCGTCTTTTAAAAACTGATTTAATTAACACATCTCCTGTAGGAACAGGGACTATTTTGTGCCATTGACCAAAAAAAAAAAAAAAAAAAAAAAAAAAAGGAAAAAGAAAAAAAGCAAACAAACAACAAACACAAACAAACAAAAGCCAAACAAAAAACAACCTTAGTTTTCAAAATCACATGAGATGAATTCAATAATTTTTTTGGATGAAAGTTATCTTAGATAGGAACTTGCTCTGTAGCTCTGGCTGGCTTGGAACTTACTATAGACCAAGTTAGCCTCAGGGTCACAGAGCTATGCCGGCCTCTGATTCCCATGTGCTGGCATTGTGAAGCCTTCTGCCTCCAAGAAGTCTTCATGGATTGAATCCTGTCATACAAGGTTCTCAGGTTCTGCTCAGTCCTCTTACCCCAGAATGTGTTTATTTGGTTTTTTAACCTTCTTAAAAAAATTTGTGTATGGGTGTTCTGTTTGTACATATGTCTGTATACCAATATGTCGGAAGAGCCAATAGAAAGGTGTCAGATCCTCTAGGACTAGAGTTCCAAGTAGCTGTGAGCTATCGTGTGAGTGCTGGGAATCAAACTTGGGTCTTAACGGCTGAGCCATCGCTCCAATCCCATGCCGAGGCGTTCTTTATGAATTGATTTGGTATTTCTACTCCATTGACTTCCTATCCAAGTCTGTAGATCATCACCACCTAGAGAATTCTGTATTTTTTGGCCCCAACCTCCAGCTATTGACAATGAGCAGAGGAGGAATGGAATGGAATGGAATGGAATGGAATGGAATGGAGGCTGAAGCCTCTGTTACTAGGGAACACATGGCTTCTTACAAATCACTTTCTATCTCTGGACTTGGTTTACTTATCTGTGAACTGAGGTCTGTAGAGGTGGTCTTGAGGATCTTTCCCTTTAGATGCGGATTTCCCCTTTGTGTACTCCACAGGGAGGAAGAGGAACATTAGCAGCCCTCTGGAAACCATCAAAATCGAAGACACAGAGGGTCCACAGATTGTCCCCCTACCCCCTTCCTGAGAGCAGCCATGGCCCTGACGGACCTCGATGTGCAGAAACAGATCAAACACATGATGGCTTTCATCGAGCAGGAAGCCAATGAAAAGGCAGAGGAGATCGATGCCAAGGCGGAGGAAGAGTTCAACATCGAGAAAGGCCGCCTCGTGCAGACCCAGCGACTGAAGATCATGGATTATTATGAGAAGAAGGAGAAACAGATAGAGCAGCAGAAAAAAATCAAGCTGTCCACCATGAGAAACCAGGCACGGCTCACAGTCCTGAGAGCCCGAGACAATCTCATCTTGGAACTGCTCAAGGATGCGAAGTTAAGACTCAGTAGAATTGTGTCAGACCCAGATATTTATCAGGAGCTGCTGGATAAACTCGTGCTCCAAGCCTTGCTCCGGCTGCTAGAGCCTGTAATGATCGTCCGCTGCAGGTCACAGGACCTCCACCTGGTGGAAGCTGCCGTGCAAAGAGCCATTCCTCAGTACATGATTCTCTGCCGGAAGCATTCGGATGTCCAGGTTGACCAAGATGCCTACTTGTCTTCGAATGCCGCCGGAGGGGTGGAGGTCTACAGCAGTGATCAGAGAATAAAGGTTTCCAATACCCTGGAAAGTCGACTGAATCTCGCGGCCCTGGAAAAGATGCCAGAGATACGAAGGACTTTGTTTGGGGGTAATGCCAACAGGAAGTTCTTTACATAAGGTTCTGGAAAGGGAAGCTCGAGTTGAACTGCGGAGTCAAAAAAAAAAAAAAAAAAAAAAAGTCTTAAGTCACTGGAACAAGGGGAACCAGGGGTGGGGGATGTATCTTCCTCTTTGGAAGCTTTGGTGTTGGTTCCTAGCTTTGAGTAACTACGATATGTCGCTAACTTTGGAATAAAGCCCATGTGACGCTCAGAAATCAAATTCTAGTTCATCCGTGTTTATGACAGTTGCTGGGGCATTTTCTAGTCTGGGATGAAGCTAAGATGACTTTGCCTTAGGGTGAGACATGAATTGCACCATTGACTTGTGAGTCCCAGGCTCTAAGCTTATGCAAATATGAAATTTGTTTTTCCTCCCTTATTTCAGCTTTAGTAACTTGTGACAGTGGAATTGAATGAGGGTTGGCTGGTGGCTTAGGCTTCTTATTGGCTAGCTTTGTCTTAGTTATTAACCCATTTCTATTAATCTAAGTATTTCCACGTGCTCTTATCTTACTGGAGAAGGGTCCCACCCTCTAACTCCTTTGGCGGCTCACATGGTGACTGTCCTGGCAGGCTCTCTCTGCCTATCTTGTGCAGTTGACAGCTGTATGTGCCCTACCCCATGGTCTTTGCTTTAGAGGTGCTTCCCGAGGCATTTGGTTAGCAGGTATGCACTCTATTAGCACTCACACCCTACCCAGAAAAAGGTGTGTTCTTTGGGAGAAGGTGTGTTCTTGGAACAAACCCTGAGAACCCGAAGCAGGCACAGCCTTCCTGTGTCTTCTCATTAGCCCTTCCTCCTGAGGTGTGAGGCAAGCTGTTGGCTGCAAGGCAGAGCGGCTGTGCTTAAAGTGGCATGGATGCTGTGGAGACTCTCCAAGGAGTGGAGCTAGGGGATAGGCACCCTCCCCACCAGCCCCCCCTTTCATTGCACAGATGCTTCATCAAGAGTTAGGTCTGTCGGTCTGTCAGAAAGTGGGGGAAGAAGGTAGATTTCGCTCCGACCTGAGCTTCCTGGACAGAAGCAGGGGGACATGGCATGGATGCTTTGGTCATGTGGCCGGGCCTGGAGGAAGCTGTGAGACCAGGCCTGCAACAGTGAAAACACAGCAGGGCTCTGAGGTCCTAGCGGGCTCTTAGAAATGGTTAATCTCAGCACTTGGGAGAGTTCCAGGGCAGCCAGGACTACACAGAGAAACCCTGTGTCAAGGAAAAAAGAAAGGAAGAAAGAAAGAGAGAAAGAAAGAAAGAGAGAAAGAAAGAAAAAGAAAGAAGTGGGCACCAAATGTGGCCCCACGCAAACCTCTGGAGAACAGACAGCCTGGAGACACTGTTCTCTATCCACTTTCCATGCTGTCAGTGTACACCTTACTCTTTCCAACTTGGGTCCCACCCCTGAAGTCACCCTCACTACTGACATGGCCCATAGCGCTTGTCCTGCAGGGTGGCCCATGGCTTGTTCTACAGGGTGCCCATGGATTGTCCTGCAGGGTGGCTCATGGCACTTGTCCTGCAGGGTGGCCCATGGCTTGTTCTGCAGGGTGGCCCATAGCGCTTGTCCTGCAGGGTGGCCCATGGCTTGTTCTGCAGGGTGGCCCATGGCTTGTTCTGCAGAGTGGCCCTCTTTTGCAAAGAGGTGAGTACTTCTGTCTGAAAACACAGTAAAAAGGCCCCTAGGCACTAAGAGTCAGGACTTAGGACTCTTGGCCCACATCCTCAGTCATCTCCCAAGAGTGATGAACACAAATTCTTTCATCACCGGGTGATGAGCCTGTGGAGGGTGATGCTGGATTCCTCCTGGGTCCTCCCAGCCCAGCACTGACTTCTGTCCTAGAGTTTACAGGTGGCTCAGAAGTCCAGGACACCCAAAGAGTTAAATGTCTGCTTCAATCCGAAGTCCTGAGGGAGCAAGGAAGCAGTCTAGCCAGGGCCTGGCCTGCTAATAAGACTCCTGAGATTGAAAACAAGCCAGAAAAGACTGAAGTTGTCACCATTCACTTTTACAGAAAACACACATAGCTGCCAACAGCTGGGGTTTTAGGGAAGTCTTCACTCTCAGGGTGTCCTGAGCTCAGGGCTTAGTCACACAAGGACCCACAGACCAGTGGTGCTTGGTCAAGAGCAGTGCCTGGAGGGACCCAGGTAAGAACTGAGCCCTGTACAGTGTTAGAGTACTAATAGCACCCTAAGGAACAGAGTTGATAGGAAGGGGGGGACCCAGCTCACAGCACCTGGCTTGGGGCTGTCTCCTAGTGGATGACTCTGAAAAAGAAGGCAAAAGAAAGGAGGACAGGGAGGAAGAAGCAGAAAAATATAGATGGGGGTGGGGAATGGAGGGAGGAAGAGTGGAAGCCAGATGCTGTGGGACTGAATTGCTGGGAGAAAAAACGATGGGAGGTATTTGACAATTATCATCTTTGATCCTTTGGAATCTGAGCCCTGGCTTTTCACCTAGTGAAACCAGCAACAGACTGGTCATTCATGCCATCTGAGAATATGTGTTGCGTCCTATTGTGTTGTTACTTAGTGGCCTTTGCAATGAAAGGACAGCTTAGGCTCCAGGACGGTGAGGGCACAGATGGGAGGAGTCACCAGGGACACTGGTCAAACAGTCAGGGGATGGTTTTAAGTGGTCTGAGAAAAATTAAAGTTATAGCTTAAGAAGTTTTCCCTAACCCCTGCTCAGGTGTGGGGGGGAAGGGTGGGAATGGGCTCATAACTGCCCCTTGATATCCCAGGAGAAACAGCTACATTAGCAGAATAGTGGAGGGTGGGGCGGGGCTGAGTAGGAGCTCTGAGGGGTGGGAGGAGCGAGCTGTGAGGTGACACTTGTCTTGGTCTGTTCATACCTGAATGCCTTAGATAAGATCATTTCTAAGCATCAGAAGTGTGTTACTCACTATCTGGGAGCTGGGAAGTCGAGGTCAGGGTCCCAGTGTTGTTCCCAAGCTCTGAACCCCAAAGCTACCAAGAGACCTGATCTGATGCAAAAGCAAAGTCTTTAATTTTATAGTTAACTGGGTTCTCCTCTCCACCCAACACAGGACACAGCAGCTGGTGACAGGTGGGACCAGGAGGGAGCCTGAGCAGCAGTGGGGCAGGGCATATATTAGGATAGAGTGAGGGGAGTGTCTGGGGGTCGCTAGTTGCATAGCAACAGCCTCAGGATTTGTGTACCTCCGGGCTTGGGCAACCTGTCCTGCATTGATTGGTCAGCTGCAGCTGCAGCAAGATTGCTATACCTAGAGGCCTGCCCAGGGCAGTTGCTATGCCCTGCATTCCACTGTTACAGGTAAAGCACACCCAGAGCCCACCAGCTAACTTCTGATTGGTTCCTCACCACATGGAGTACAAGGTTAGGCAATGTCAGGAGCTCAGCACATGTGGCTGAGTCAGGGGCCTTTGTCTTGCTGGGTCTTTTCTGCAGCCTGCCATGGCTGCCAAAGCAGGGGACAAGGTGAAGGTCTGGTCCCTTCACCAGAGAATTAGTACAGGATGGCTGCTCATTCAAGATGGTGTCTTCCACAGGACTGGACATGGTAGAGGGGTTAGCAAGCACTTATCCCATTCCTAATTATGACTGAACCCAACCCCACCCCCAAAAAGCTGTACTTGGTTGTTATTGCTGTTTTGTTTTGTGCTGAGGATGGGACTTCCAGGCTTCTCCCTCCATCCAAAAGCAAGGCATGTTCCCAGGAAGTCTGTTTTTGGGTACAAGAGTTGCTGATGTGGGATGTCCTTCTGTATATATGTTTCTCTTATTGGTTGATGAATAAAACACTGATTGGCCAGGCAGGACGTATAGGAGGGGCTAGGAAATGAGGAGAATTCTGGGAAAGGTAGGCAGAAAGAGTCTTCACGTAGACCACAAAGGAATAGCAGGTCTGGACCCTTTTCCGGTAAGATAAGACCATGTGGAAATAGGTAGATTTATAGAAATAGGTTAATAATGAAGACAGAACTAGCCAATAAGAAGCCCTAGTCATTGACCAACAGTTTTATAACTAATATAGTATCCGTGTGTGTTTATTTGGGGCTGAGAAGGTCTACAGGATCTGGCAGGACAAGAAAACAATCGGCAATAGGTCGGAATGTATCTAAGGGGTTGGGAGAAAGGCATGAGAGTGTTCCAGGCCTTAGATGCCCCCAGAAAGTAAGAATAGGGCATGTTTCCTGCCTACAGGCTTGCCCACTAGAAAGAACCAACAGTGGGAACTTAGTCTTGGGGTCCTCATAATGGTGGCTTGTATCCTCCAGTAGCCCTTTACATAAGGAAGTCAGTATATCAGAGGCCAGGGTGCTGTGAGGGAGGTCACTGGCACAGGCTGTTGTTGGAGAGTTGCTAGCCATTTGCTGGAATAACCTAGTAACTCATTCACTCTCTACCCTAACTTTTGGTAAAGCAGAGGGAAAAAGGGGCTTATTTTCATTGGGGAGTTTTGACAGTGAAGTGAGACAAAATAGAAGGCACTCTAAAAAAAGCCAAAGAGAGTTCCATGTGTTCCATGCTAATTTTGAAACCGAACCTTAACTCTGTGGAATTATTTTTATTACTGCATTATACAAGAAATAAGAAAACATTGTGGAAGTCCAGAACATTTAAAAAGTCTTAAAAAGTTGAAAGTTTAGCATTCAAAGTTTAAGGTTTGACCATCCTTCTGAAGTTACCATGTATGTGTTCACTTGCCCAGCGGAACAATGAAATGATGTTTCTAAAACCATCATTTTATACCTAGGTTGTAATTTCATTTTCGGTGTCCATAAGCTAGGAAAACGACATTTCATACCAGGTTAGTGGTGGCAAATGCCTTCAATCCCAAATCCCAGCACTCAGAGGTAGAGGTAGGGAGGTGGATCTCTGTGAGTTCGAGGCCAGCCTGGTCTACAAAGCTACACAGAGAAACCCTGTCTCAAAAAAAAAAAAAAAAAAAAAAAAAAGAGAGAGAGAGAATAACATTTCAATGAATCCAGTAGTTATTGACAGCTGAGCTGCTTTCAAGTAGAGTAAATAATGCTGTGATTAACACTT